CAGCTCTTCAGTGCTGTGGAGTTCCACGCACCGCATTTTTATATATATATATATATATATATATATATATATATATATATATATATATATATATGTGTGTGTGTGTGTGTGTGTGTATGATGGACTTTCCTGTCGATTTCGACTTATGAGGAGCCGACAACCTCATTCAGTTTTTATGCTTGTGTGGTATGTGACACTGCAGTCCCGCTAGTGACCTGCATACAAGTCCACATATTGTGCCACGGCGGCGAGAAACTCGGGACAGAGTAATATAAATATTTCCTGACGCTTTTCTTCGTAGTCTTCCGTGCCTTAACCGGTCAATAAGACTGATCTCGAAATTTCTGATAACACTCTGGCACAAATATCTCCAATTATTTCTATCCAGAACAACTCGCTCGAAATTAGTATGAGGCACATTGACAACTGAGAGCTAACTCTTTAGCTTGTCTTTATACCTGAGCCATATATTGTTCCCTCTACGCAATTTCACTCATAAGGTTGACCAGTGTTATGGCTTTCAGGCACTTTCTAAATGTGCCGCACGCTGGGATCGCGATGATAACAAAATGCCACTTTCCTGACAAATAAACGACGGTTAGATTCGAACCCAGGTCTTATGGTTGGGGAGAGAACGTTTTAACCACTCGGTCACACGTCCAATGGTTCGCAAAACTGTCCCGCGAAAACAATTACAACTGAGTAGAGAGTTTGAACCTCACTTTAGTGCTCCATACTTGCGGCCTTGTGTCACATTTAAGATACGCTTAGTGAATAATTATACCATGATATATTCAGGCGGCCACCCGGTATTCAAACAGATTTGATTAAATCCAAGGTTCTACAGAAGGATGCTGAGAAAATGAAAACAAAAAGGAAACGTACACTATTTACATTATTCGGACTGTTGTCCCTGTCCTCGTTGCCATATTCACAACATTTCAGCCGTTGTATGTTCCGACCTTCTTTAGGTGATTGGAATTTCGAACCTCAAAGACCGTTGGTTGACTCCAGTGACTTGACTCAAAGAGTTGTGAGTTCTATGCCTGGCTACAGCAGAGGTGAACAAAAACTTGGAGAGTTGATTGGAAGGGCGATAACAGATACCGAGATATCCAGAAGAGGCATGGCACGTGGAACTAGAACTATCTACCGCAGTGGACGAAATGAAGAGTTCGGGTCGGAATTCCAATCACCCGAGGAAGGCCGGACGTATAACGGCCGAAACGTTGTGAATATGGCAACAAAGATGAGGACAATAGTCCGAATAATGTAAATTTGCCAAAAGAGTGTGTAATTATGCAATATACACCATACTATTTAAACTGCCAATAAACTTATTTTTACTGTTAGACGATATAATCCAATTATATATATATATATATATATATATATATATATATATATATACTTACAGAGATGTAATCATCGTTCGTAATGAATAACGGCTCAGTCTGAGAAAGTGGCGAGTTCGAATTCCAAGTTAGGCTCGTTACATTTACTTAGCCTTGGGCCAGAGCGGTAAGGTAATGGCCTATTCTTTCCCGTTAACCCAGGGATGTCTTACGCCCAACAAAGAACCTCAGCATGATGAAAAAGAAATAAATAAAAAGTATTATACTCCCGGAACCTTTCAGCGCCCAATGCAGCGATGTATTGTTATCAACATTTTTTGTCATTTTCCTCTCCGAGAAATAGGTATGCAGATATCGCGCTGTCTTTGGCTCTAAGATTGATAGTTTTTTTACGGTTTATCATCCGTTTACAGGTTATTTCAAACTGGAATTTTTTTATAGGCTGTAAGAAATGTTTGGAGAATACGTGAATGAATATCTTTCTTCCTAGTCGGCTCTCCGTTTTCCAATTCCGAGCCGTTATCCACTGCACCAACCACGTATAGAAAACAGAAAAAAATTTGATCTAATAGAAATAAATCCTATTTATCCATTTTAATGGGCGAAAAAATATTCGCACAATGCAAATTTCAGATTTTAAAACTTTAAATTACTCTAATACTCTAGATTATTCGAGCGGAATATTCTAGAATGTTCCAGTAATGTTATCAGTAGTTGTTTTTAGCCTAAAAAATACAAACAGAACATTCTATAAATGATAGTCGTGCAAGAAGGTTATCATCATGTCAAGAAGTAAAGAATTGACAAAATCGCAAAAAAGAACTGATGTTAAGCTCTGGAAAGAAGGTAAAGGTTACAGGAAAATCTCAGAAAACCTAAATATTCAATTTACTACCATTAGTTCATTTATTGCAAGATATAAAAAAAACTCAAAACTGTTGAAAACCAAAGAACAGGTGCTCTACGGAAGATTTCTTCGAGGAAATTAATGCGTCAAATTAAACAAAATCCAATGGTTACTTGTCAAGAGTTGCAGGATAATTTGCTTTCATCAGGAACCTGTGTCACTAAACGGGACAATAAGCAATGAAATTCATAGGAACAATCTAAAGTCACGCTCCTCTCGGAAAACTCCACTGCTATTGAAAAGACACAGAGAAGCCAGATTGAAATTCGTTCGGGGACATAAGGATAAGGAAAAATCGTTCTAGGAAAGAGTATTATCGACAGAGGAAACCAAAATTGAGTTGTTTGGGGCGTAATTCTAGAAATCATGTATGGAGGAATGATGGCGTTGCCTTAAAAAAAAAATAACACAATTCCAGCAGTGAAATTTGGTGGTGGTAGCATCATGGCTTAGGGAGGTTTTTCTGCAAAAGATACTGGCAACATATCAGTAATAGATGGTAGAATGAATGTTGCAGCATATCTAAATATTTTGGAAGCAAATTCAACGATTTCTACTGAAAATATTGAATTTCCTCCTGACTATTTATTCTAACAAGATAGTGATCCCTAAGCACATTGCAAAATCTACAAATTAAAAAAAAATGGCTTGCTAAAAATAATGTAAATATTATGAAATAGCCAAGTCAGTCCCCAGGTTTAAACCCAATCGAGAATCTATGGCGTTATTTGAAAAGTCAAATCCAATCGAGAGCTCCAACAAACATATCAGATATGCGACGAAGAATGGAACAAAATAGCAACTAAAATTTGCAAATCATTAATTGAGAACTACAAGAGGTTGGTTGCTGTAGAAGTGAATCATGGTTATTCTATAAAGTATTCTTTTTTGTATTGTAAGAATACTTTTTTCACCCATTAAAATGGATAAATGGGATTTATTTCTATTAAATCAATTTTTTTCTGTTTTCTATGCATATTTAGTTATAATGCATCTGTGTAGAGTTAATTATATAAAACGTATGTTTATTCATTAGTTGGAAACAGTAAATTAAAATTTGGATGTGAACGAATATTTGTTTACCCCCCCCACTGTATATGCAAGATTCTGGGGAGGAAAATTATTGATTTATCTTGCCGAGGGTTAAAAGTTGAATATCACTGTTAACTGTAATGTTCAACTTTCACAAAAACACGGAACGCAGGCATAATAAAAATCCATCTTGGTGAATTAATAAACTGAAAATAAACAAGACATAAAAGTAATTAACAGAAAGTCGCAAAAAAACATTCGTCTAATTTATTTATAGAATTTTTGAGTAAGAACACCTGCAAAGGTGAATTATTCAGCAGTTCTCTAGCAAATTTACCTTTCTCTGATTGTAACGATTGTAGATTCATATAAACTGTAAAATAGAGATTTAGGCTGGCTTTACAAAATAACAGGTGCATCTGAATGTCTGCAGGCTGTCAGGATGCTTTTCCTTATCGTCAAGCAATAATGTTTACGGTCATATCTGCATTGCGATACAGGTTCAGTTTCATTAGCATCGGACAGAGTGAAGATCAGAAGCTTTAAGTAGTAGTCACCGTGAAATGGAACGAGAGTGAATAATTAAAAGGACCAACGGAAAGGCAAAAAAAAAAAAAAAAAAAAATAGTTGCATATCTTCAAATCAACAGGATTTAGAACATATATTGAATGAGAGAATGCACGCTTCTAGATATGGAATCTGAAATCAACAAGCCTAGTACAAATTACAACCCGTTAATCTCACGTAAGCATTTGTTTCAATGATAACCTTTAATGATTACTATTTTAACAAACACACACACATACATAATAATAAATAATAATAGCTAGCCACTCGTATTCGAAGATACCCGTCTACCAGGGCGGCTAGCCAATCTCTAATTCAGACACTCGCTCAAGCATATTTGTGTTTGCCCAACACCCACAGACCCCACCTGTGGTTTATACTGCAACCATGCTGGGCAGACCTTAGTTACAGTTTCTGGGATATAGCGTGTTATCTAGCGTGATCAACAATTTGAACAAGGCCAGCACGCTCATGCCCTCGGCCACGATGGCTTGTGGCTTTGTGCTAGCACAACTATCGACGGCTTACTCAGTTTCACTCACAAGGCTTGGGTCAACCTGTGGTATGGTTTTCAGGCACTTTTCAAAGATGCTGCATGCTGGGGTCGACCTCGATTCATTCTGATAACATCAGGAAGTTTCTTTCCTGACAAATCGACCATGGTGAGATTGGAAACCAGGTCTTAGAAAGTTAGAAAGCGAACGTTCTAACCTAACTCGTCCGCGCGCCCATAAAATACACACACACACACACACACACACATAGGAAGAAATATAGTTTTAAGGTGTGCTATATTTATGGAATAAAGTGCTCAGTATAAGAGATAGAGCGTATGTAAATATAAAGTCAACTGTCAGAGGCGACAGACTGTTTCATGCTAGACGCAGTCATCAGGCCTGATGATTGAGTCTAGCATGAAACAATCTCTCACCACTGAGTGTTGACTACGATATTCATATATATATATATATATATATATATATATATATATATATATATATATTCCTTTTATTTCAGGCAGGGAGAAACGGTGGATCTATTGCACATAAGTGAATATAACGAACCCAACGGTAATTGAAACTCGGTTCACTGAGTAACAATTCCGAGCCATTATCCATTACACCACCCGCACATCCAGGCTTACATCACCTGGTATTCCCAAGCGGACACCCATCTACTTACTAGCTAGACTCGACGTTGCTTAACTTCCGTGATCGTTCGGACACCGGTGTTTCAACCTGATGTGACTGTAATTCCCTGAACAAAAGAAGATTCAACGGACGAACGTGTTTTTATTTAGTATTTGATTATCTCAAGGGCCACTCAAGTTAGAGGAATACTGAATGAGATTGACGTATGAATGCAAGAGGAGGAAGGAGAGGAGGTAAGACGTGCAGAGTATGAGGATATATAGGATATATAGGAAATATAATAAGACCCTCGACATTTAAATTTTTAAGATGGTGCTGAAAGAAACCTCGGTCGACCAAAACTTACTTCTTAATATGGAAGACTAAGGGAAAATGGGTGATTTGTCCTCATAAACGTGGAATAGACGGTTTTTATCTTTGAATATATGAATTAGTAGAACGAAGTAATGTTGCTAGTCAGAACATTTTCAATGCAATAGTGTAACGGAAGACTTTCGACGTTTCGTCTCTAGCAAAGGAGTTATAGGTTGGAAAATAATTCGGACTGCCGGAAAAAGAAAGTCACAAATGCAGCATATATAATCTTCTTTGAGCCAAAAACTTTCACCTCGAGGGCAATTACGACTATCTGCAGCTTCATATTTCGTCAGTTACTCTCGGCCAATCTGTGGTATGCTGGTCATATAAGTAGACCCCACGAAAGAAATCAAATGGATACATACATGTTATATAGGAATAAAGTGTCGCTGCCGACACTTGAGTTTGAACATAGATCGCCAGTGAGCAAACACAGGCGATCCCATTATTGAATTAAGTAGATCATGTAACCATAGAGGAAACGCATAAATAGAAAATAGCGTGACGTCTAACTGATCGCTATTTCTAGTCTATCCTCTATACGCTATCCTCTATTTCACTATACTATTTCTCTATACTGATCACTACACGGATTACTATTCGGTGGTTACTTATTCGAGTGCGTATTATCGAGCAAGTACTATTAGTACGAGTGTTATTCGAAGGCGTCTGACACCAGTATTGTTCAACGGCGTTATTATAGTTGTATCTGTGATTACAAAGTCTCTACTACAACGAGCATTACGAAAGTGACAACGAGTATTCGTTGACACCACAAAAGTGTCAACGAGTGTCAGCTGACATCACATAAATACATAAAGAAGTGGATGTACCAGAAAAATGGTAACCCAGGACTTGAATCTTCCTTTATTAACAGTTTATTCACACCAATATTTCGCCAGTTACTCTCGATCAGTCTGTGGTATGCGGTCCACACAGAGCCCTGGTCCGATAAGAGGACCCTAAGAACGAAAACAAATGGATACATACATAATGAAGTGGGTGTCATGGCAAAATGGTAACCCGGGACTTGACTCTTCCTTTATTAACATTTTATTCACTCCATTATTTCATGATTTACTCTAGGCCAGTTTGTGATAGTGCTGTATCGTCGGGGTGAATGATACACAGAGAAGAATAAGTGCTTATATTTATTCAGCACCAGTATCAGGTGCTAATGGATACATACAAAAAATTCAGAACAATAAGTTACAAAACAATTAACAAGACAACTTACAAGGAATAGAGGAGGGTCAAATTCTGTATAGCCAAACGAAGTAAAATCAGTCCGAATATTAATCAGCTTAGTATGAACTTATTAATCAACTGTTCTGACAGAGTGATGAAGGGGTCTAGCTTCTCTACAACAAGTATACGGCCCACACAGTGCCCTGCCCCAATAAGTGGACCCCACAAACGAAAAGAAATGGAAACATACATAATAAAGTGGGTGTAGCAACATGATAATAATCCGAGACTTGAATCTTCATTTATTTAACATTTTATTCCCACCGATATTTAGTTACTCTCGACCAGTCTGTGGTATGCGGTCCACACAGAGCCCTGGTCCGATAAGAGGACCCCAAGAACGAAAACAAATGGATATATACATAATGAAGTGGGTGTCATTGCTAAATGATAACCCGGGACTTGAATCTTCGTTTCTTAACATTATATTCACTCTAATATTTCGCCAGCTACTCTCGGCCAGTCTGCGGGTCGAACCGTTTTGTTAACAATGATTTCTACGCTGTCATAAATATACACTACCCTCTCCAAGGAGGCTGTTTATATAACCGTCTGTCTCACAAATCTTTCTAACGCCTACAAACCAGATACAGGTGTGAGGTCACACGTTAACCTATTCGGTGATCGGGAATGACTCTGAGTCATCCTCTTGATGCTTCCCACTTTCTTGATGCTCGGGGGTCTTATTTACGGGCAATATCTAACCCGTATTTCTGCTTTATGTAACCCAACGAGTAACAATTCCAAGCCTTAATCTATTGCACCATCCGCACATCCAAGCTTCTCATACGGTCACCCATTTAGGTACTGACCAACTCTATGTTGCTTAACCTTGGTGATTCTACGAGAACCGGTGTTTCAACGTCATACGGCCGTTATTCTATACTACACGCACATGCAAGCTTACAGCACCTGGTATTCTCATGCGGTCATCAGGTTCGACGTTGCTTAACTTTGCTGATCGTGTAAGTGAATGTAACGAACCCAACTGGAATTGGAACACGGCTCTCCGATTAACAATTCTGGTCTATTATCCATTACCCCGACCGTACACCCAAGCTTACAGTACCTGGTATTCCCAAGCGGTCACCCATCTAGGTACTGAGCAGGCTCAACGTTGCTCAACCTCGGTGATCGTACGGGAACTGTTTATCAGAAATCAAGTCATGTTATAAGGAGTTAAAATAGTATGTATTAGGTTGGTGCAAAAATAATGACGTAATAATGTCGTTTTTGGACGTATTTTTAACGCCAAAAACGACATTGTTACGTCATTATTTTTGCACCAACCTAATACCAGTTCAAACCGATGCCGGCGCTTTATAGGTGAACCATTTTATGCTGGTTTAATCGGACTTTTTATTTCTTTCTTTTCTTTTTTAAAGGGCTAGCAGATGGTACACGGTTGGAAAATTGTGATAAAAGTCAGAAACCGATCAAATTAATCTGGACAAAACTCAATAATCAAATCAAATCATTCCGCTTAATAAACACGGAAACGCATTCAAAAGAAGAAGAAAAAAGAAATTGCCATTTCGCCAAGTGGATTTAAAAGTGGGCAAACGACGCAGCAAACTACTCATCTTCCGTGTGAAAAAAATAGTTAAACAAGCATTAATCAAATGTAATTTATTCAAGCTGAAAACTGAAAAGAGGAAAAAAAAATGTTTGGAAACGATGACCCAGTAGAAATAAATGCGCACGCGATTAAAGTGATATGGCTTTTTTTTGTATAATAAAAGTAAACAAATAACTATTCAGTGAATTCACTTTCACTGACAAGCTTCATTCAATTCTGACAGCAAGTAAACAATATAAATTCTACATCTGTTAAGGTCGTGAGTTCAAATATATCATCATTTGAACATATAACTTAGAGTAGATACGTGTTAGTGTACAAATTATTGCTGTCAAGGTCAACTCTCACTAAGTGCTTTCCGGGAAACATAATTTACTTGAACCAATAAATTCTTCTTTTTTTCTTTTTTTTACACAAATAAAACAAACACATATCTGTTATAATACATATGTTTTTTTAAAATGATTTTCACACTGTACAAAGCCCGATGTCCGCTCGGGGTAGAGCGCTAAGATTAAGAGACACAGTTTATGGAGATATGTGGAGAACATAACGGTTGACCTTAGATTGGACAGGTTAAGATTATAGTGATCGGGAAAGCATCCTCTTGGGAGTCAGTTCCAAGAAGCAGCTGTTCGTGGGAAGAAGCTGCTCGATTGGAACTTACATCTCATTGGTTCATTACAATGCGTATGACATGGCAGGTTTTAGTCATGAACTTGAAATAATGTCGTTTAAAATATAGTTGCTTTTTTTCAGTATTGTTCACCTAGTACAACACCCAAGAATCACACAAGATAGGGGGTTACAGAGTAAGAAGCACAGTTTATGGGGGTTTGTTGGGAATCGGTTGCATAAGCCCATGGGAAGAAACTGCTCGAGTGGAACTTACATCTCACCAATGGAATACGAAGAGAATGAGGGTGGTTCACTACAATGTGGGCAGCATGGTGGGTCTTAGCTGTGAAGGTTTTGAACAGGTGGAACTAAATGATGTAGTTTAACTGAAAATTTCCATAGAGATAGTGATAGAGCAGAAACGGGCCTGCGGCGTTTCATCTGTGAGAAAGGGGCTGTAGGGTGGAAAATAATTCATCACCCACAAGGACGCGGAGACGCTTTTGGACTGGAAAGTGAAGATTGAGCGACTCCTGTCCACATATGACAGCTGTACTCCATCTTCGACTTGATCTGGCTCTTGTAAATAGAGAAGGCAACATAAGTTACTTGTTGGAGCGATACTGATAACTGACCATTTTCCAGCATCTTTAGCGATGCATCGTTTGTACAAATCGCCGCGGAGTCTGGGTTGAGTTCCAGCCCAAATAGGCGCTCAATTCACGTGGCCATTTTGAGACAAAGAAAAAACCCATTCATCGCGAGAGATGAAAATTCAGGGTCTGCTTGAATGACAAAGTGGAAAAATATATGTAGCACCTTTCGGCATCTAAAATAGACTTCATCAGACTAAAGTAATGTTCTTATTGATGGAATTATATATATGTAGTGGGGGAGAGTGAGTTTTAAAAGTAAACGTCGGGGTGGCGGAGGAGGTAAATGCTGAAGATGTAGAAATGTAAATTTAAAACTAACGTGTCTAGATACACAGCTCAGCTGACCCCATTCGGTTTCTCAAAGATTTTGTTTATGTTTGCATTGTTGTTGTTTTTAAATATTACACACTGTGACGACAGATGTTTTAAGAAAGGTAAAATGTTATAATCTGTTGAATCGGGATGCAAATTTAGTGTTGGATGTTCAGAAATCGGCGCACTTTTTATACATTTTTGCCTTAGTATCTTATTTTCTCTTTTGATTAAAAGATTTTTTTAAATTGACATTATGGTCAAATTCATTAACGTGAACGACTAATAGATTTAATGTGTTGTTTCGTAAAATACCTTTTTTTTGTGTTCACATAGCATTTAATTAAAATTACTCGATGTCTATCCTATGGAATTTTTGTGGTGATCATTACAGGCTGTAGTGTAAATTATTATTTTGTTTTGTATTAATTATTGTTAACAGACCTCTCTTTGACATTGCTCGTAATGAGTGCAGGCGTGTCCTAAAAGAAGAAAAGTTACTATTTGCTGTTTGAATGAGACACCGTTCTGTAAGAGTGTGCGGAAGCAAATCGCCAGTCCCTCCTCTGCCCAATCAATTTGAAATATTCACATCTACTGTAGATAAGGTAGATTGCTTTGCTCGGAATTTCTCTTCCAAATCAACCCATTACATAAAAGTTTTTTCACTTTTTTTTTCAGTAATGTTCACCCTGTACAAAGCTCGACAGCCACACTAGGTAGCGGGTACAGAGTAAGAGGCAGAGTTTATAGAGATATGAAGAGAAGATAACGGTTAACCTTAGACTTGAAGTGGTTGAGATTGTAGTGATCGAAGAAGCATCCCCTTGGGAGTCGGTTCCCAAAAATTTAAAAATAAGGTTCCACCGCTACACAGGAATTACCATGTTTCAAAAACAGAAACTAAAATCTTCAAATATAACAAATAAAAATATTAATAAGAACACCAGATTATATATCCTACTGTTCTTTCTTTTATTATAAACTGTTCTTTTACTAAGGTCTGCTCAGCATAGTTGCAGTAAAAACCATAGGTGGGCTCTGTGGTTATTGGGCAAACACAAATACGCTTGAGCAAGCGTTCTGCAATAGGGATTGTCTATCCGCCCTCGTAGACAGATATCCTCGAATACGAGTGGTCAACTAAAATATATATATATATATAATTATTTATTTAAAAATATGATTCCAAGACGCTACATGAGAGTTCTCATGTTTCAAAACAAGAGCCGAAAACTTCGATATAATTATTTGAATTAAATTGAATTAAAGTACTAAGTTCCGTTCCATCTTCAAGCGAAATTTTTAAAAATTAGTTGCCCGGAGATGTAACAGTAAGAGATAGATCAAGTATCGACCATCATAAAGACTGAAAAATAAAATTGACAAAGATTATTGTTTAAGGTTGACGGACACGCATGTCTTAATTATGTTTTTTTTTTTTTTTTTTTTTTACGAACTGGTCAAACCCAAACTGAAACAAAAACATTGTTTTCAATCGTTATGAGTCTACCGATTGAATAGAATTTTATTATAAACAATTGTCTTGTAAATGGAATTTTTAAAGCATTCTGAATGTAAAATAAAGAAAAAAAGTGTGCAAGACAATAAGAAACACTACCTGTCAAAAAAAAGTGAAGTTTTGTTGAAATCGGTTGAAAAATGTAGGAAATCCGATCCCCCCCACACAACCTGGGTTTTATAATAAGTATAACTCGATATGAGTTGTCCCCCTTCCATTCTCGTGACAGCGATGCCTTAATCGTGTTTTCAAATTGATTTCGTGCAAAAACAATTGGGTTTTTCCAATTTTTGGCGCTGTCAGAACCACCGCAAGGAAATTTTACCTAGTCCTGTGAAGTTTTGTTGGAATCGGTTGAAGAATGTAGGAAATCCGATCCAATATATAAACGAACACACACACACACACACACACAACCTGGGTTTTATAATAAGTATGATTTAACATCTTTAAAAAATTACTTCGGTGATGGTAATATTAGTAGTTTCCTTATAAGGAAACGTTCATCATTCATTGACATAATGTGACATAATGTTGAGATTTAGAGTTGGTTTTGATGACAATACCATGGAAAAACTGCCCAAGGCCCCTTGGCACTTCCCTTTTTAGGGAAAAAACCTTTAGAAAAAAGGGGGGTGGGGTTACTGAGTGTGAAAGAATCAGGAACATAAATAATGAGCACAAAAAGAAAAGAACAATCAAGAGGACAGTAGATAGTAATTGACATTACATTCAAATTTTTGCAGATTAAAATTGGCTGGAAAGCATGGAGCCAGAAGTGAGTTTCACAAGCGAGAAGTGCGAGAAAAGAAACTGTTAACATAGAACTTATGGCTACATCTCGCCAGCTCAGTTGTAAATTGATGAGACCTTGTTGCCAATCTAGTACTGCGCTTACATTCATAAAGTCTAGGTATCATCGCGAAGAGCCCATCTGAACAATTACCATGAACGTATTTATAGAACCATATTTATTATACATGTATTTTGGGGACACCCCAGGCACCGGGCAATAAACCCACCTCCTTCCCAAAGTGGGTGACAGGATCCCTGCGTCTTGGGCTTAATATATTTAAAGAATATGAATGGTTCCAGTCAAAATCTGGGATCGTATATTTGGCCAATTACAATGACAATATGAAGCCATATGAAAGGTGTATTAGAGAATATTCTATTGTCAATATTAAATACTTCAACCCACTAGCTTGTGGTTATTTTTGTTTAAATATCTATCACTCCATGCAAGGCAGTAAAGCCCCAAAGAGACAAGGGTTACAGGGTGTGAAAAAAATAGGAACATAAAGAATGCGGGAAAAAAAGTGTAATCACTAAGACAGTAGGTAGTAATTGACATTGCATTTAAATTTTTGCAGATTAAAGTTGGCTGGAATGGAGTTCCACAAGCGAGAAGTGCGAGAAAAGAAACTAGCATAGAAGTTACGATTACGTCTAGCCAACTCA